CTGGAGTCCCAGTTGCTCCACTGCCAATCCAGCTCCCTGCTAACGCACCTGGGAAAGCCAAGGGTAGATGGCTCAAGTAGTTGGGCGCTGTTACCCATGTGGGAGACCTGGATGGAATCCTGGCTCCTGGCTTCTCTAAATCTGTTTTAATAAACCTTAAAAAAATTCAGAGAAGAGACTTGGAGGGGTTGGTGTTCTATGGCCAGAGGGCATTGACAGCAGCCAGAGCAGGGGATGAGGGAAATAAGTGCCTCTCTCTGAAATGTGAATTAAGGAAGAAAAGGGTCTGTGTGTGTGTGTGTGTGTGTGTGTGTGGTTGGGTGGATTTCTGGGGAAAACCTTCCAGAAAAACCACAAAAAGCAAGCACACAAGACAGAATTGTAAAAAGGTGCAGTCATTGGAGGGATTCTGGGAACCGAGTCTGGTGGGAAAACAGACTGACTGCTTTGTTGGCCAAGGCGACATCGACAAACTGGAGATGACACTGTGGATTGAGCCCTGATGTGCAACGTGGGAGACAATTAAAAAAAAAAACAAACAAAAAGGTAGTGCAGGGAGCTACTGGGGGCATTACGTCAGCCCCACACCAGCTCACAGCTGATTGGCCTGGGGGCGGGCACCTACTCAGCGTGACCAATGAGAGGCCTCGGCGGCTCCTTCATAAGCACAGGGAGGTGGTGGCGACAATAGGTGCAGCAGCTTTCCCACCATCCTCTGCTTGGTGCCGGCGTGGCTCAGGGCTCGAGGTGTCATGCTGCAGGGCTGTAGGTAGGTTCTGCTTCTCACCTTTGAGTCCAGGTCTACTTCATCTCAGTCCTTTGTTCTTGCTTGGTTTGCCTGCTTTAAGACTTATTTGAAAGGCAGCATTACAGAGAGGCAGAGAGCTCTTCCATCATGCTGGTTCACTCCCCAAATGGCCCCAATGACTGGGGCTGGGGCTGGGGCTGGGCCAGGCCAGAGCCAGGAACTTCTTCCAGGTCTCCCACATGGGTGCAGAGGCCCAAGCACTTGGGCCATCTTCTACTGCTTTCCCAGGTGCATTAGCAGGGAGCTGGACTGGAAGTGGAGCAGCTGGGACTCAAACCGGCACCTTTGTGGGATGCCAGTACTGCAGGCGGCAGCTTTACCTGCTGTGCCACAGAGCTGGCCCTGCTTTAGGTTGTTTTTAAACGCTGCTGAGATAAATGTATTCTGACTGGTACTCCAAAGCATGGCCTAAACTGTAACTAGCTTGATAGTCTAAAGCTGGAGATGTTAAAACCCAATTCCTGAAGATTCTGCGTGTTTTCCGCCCTTTGCTTCTTCTGTCCACTGTGTGTCTATGCTGTCTCCAGGTTGAAGCTCTGTTCCTCCTGCAGGTACTGCTCATACACCATTAAGGCTGTGATGGAGCACAGGAGTATACTTGGTTCTCCTCACCACTTATTTCCATGTTATTTGAAAGGCAGACAGACACAGTGAGCTCCTATCCCTGGTTGACTCCCCAAATGCCTGCAACAGCTGAAGCTGGGCCAGGAGCCCCTGACTCCACCTGGGTCTCTGACGTGGGTGGCAGGGACCCAGGGACTTGAGCCATCGCCTGCTGCTTCCCAGGTGCAGGTCCGCAGGACGCTGGAATTGGGAGCGGAGCTGGGACTGAAGCCCAGGTGCTCCCATATGGGATTTGGGGGGTCTATGGAGGCTGCACCAAATACCCACCCCTCTACCACTACTGACTAATAGGCTGTTGCTGGTATGTGCTGGCAGATTCCTTGACCAAACTCCCAACCTGGGCTTCCCTGAGCCCTCTTCAACCAGGCCTCCAGCCGACTTGAACAAATGCGAAGGGTTCCTAACAACTGTAGGCTGCAGCCTTCATCTGCCTGCTGAGAAGGACTCAAGATGGCCAAGCAGGTTCACGGCTACAGCCAACACCTGGAGGAAGGGCCCCCACCTCCCAGCTTCTGGGAGGGCAGGAGCTGACATCAGTAAGCACCTTAGCTAACACGGATGGGTTTCACGTGGTCCGAAAGTCCCCTTGCTGCTGTTCCTAAGACTACACTTGCTTGGCTGAACTCGGCCATGTTTACCGTCTTCCCCATGCTCTGCTTGAGTGCCTGGATTCCAGAACTAAGTTCCAGATCAAGTGAGGACACAGTGACTCCCTCTCTGAATTGTCCATTGATACACTTTGCTCGTTAGGGGAAAATCCCACTTCTGGGGTATCTTTCTCGTGGTTAATATAATTCTTAATTGTGTTAGTACGTCAACTACAGCCACTGAAAAGGTCTCTTCCTAGCCTGTGGCTCCTCGCCCCCTCCTTTTTTTTTTAAAGATTTTTTTATTTACATGAAAGAGTTACACAGAAAGGAGAGGCAGAGAGAGGGCTTCCATCTGCTGGTTCACTCCCCAAGTGGCTGCAGTGGCCGGAGCTGCGCCGATCCAAAGCCAGGAGCTTCGTCTAGGTCTCCCATGCAGGTGCAGGGGCCCAAGGACTTGGGCCATCTTCTGCTTTCCCAGGCCATAGCACAGGGTGGGATCAGAAGTGGAGCAGCCGGGACTCGAACTGGTGCCCATGTGGGATGGCAGCACGGCAGGCGGCAGCTTTACCTGCTACACCACAGTGCCAGCCCCTTGTACACTGTTAATGCTAATGAAGATGCTCAGAACCATCTCGGTCAACTAAGCCAGGAGCAAGGGTGTCTTGTGACCAAAAACTGGAGCAGCCAAGAGCTACCGCTTACAGGGCTTGTTTTCAGGGAACTTCTACCTACTCATGAAGTTCTGGGATGGATGACGTCTATTCAAAGGGTGGTGGATGCATATGCCCACGGAGTTATTGAGGTAACACGAGTTTCTCGTTCAGTTGAGGGTGGAGAATGAACAGTGAGGGGCTCGGGCTTCCTGTGTTAGGTGAGTTAGATGAGGCTGCTGCTCGGGCATGGGGTCCTTCAGCCTCAGCTGGGTCCGGCTACTATGGCGCATTCACCGCTAGATGGTCTCGAGCCAACTCATGTCCACATACAAGGACATCAGGTTGGTTTTAACCAGCATCGAAACAGGATTGGGCCACTTATTTTTACAGATGTATTTGAAAGGCTGAGTTAGGGAGAGGTCTGCCATCTGCTGGGTCACTCCCCAAATGTCCGTGAAGGCTGGGCTGTGCCAAGTCAGATCCAGGAGCCTGGAGCTGCTTCTGGGTCTCCCACGTGGGTGGCAGGGGCCCAGGCTTTTGGGCCATCTTCAGCTGTCCTGAGCACTTTAGCAGGGAGCTGGTTCAGAAGTGGAGCAGCTGGGTCTCCAATGGGCGCCTATATGGCATGCAGGCATCACAGGTGGCAGCTTAACCTTCAGTGCCACGATGTCAGCCCCGGGTCATTTTCTTTAAGTAGTGGGCTGTGCTGTTAGTTCCACTTCTTGGCTGCTGATCCCGTGAGGGTAGAAGCTCGCATCCCGATCCTGGGCTCCCAGCTCGGAGCTGACATCCCCTCCCGTCCCGCTCACTCACCCTTGGCCCCTGTTATCTCCAGTCAGCGGTGACTGGTGCACCCTTGCTCCTTGCTTTGTGTTTGGTTGGTGGTCCAGCAAGATGAGATCCTGTCCCGGGGTCTATCTCACTACCTCTCAACAGCCTGTGCTGTGGCAGAAGCAGATGGGCAGTAGGGGGCTGTGTTTTCCTTTTTTATTTTAAAAGCCATGAGTAGTACCGTGGGATAGGATGGTAATGAAAGTAGTCCATCTGCCACCCCCATTCCCACTCCAAGTGGTAGTGGCTTCTTGGCACAAGTTGTTGGTCTTATACTAATTTCTGTGTTACTACCTGGTCTCCACATGATGCACACTGTTAAGTCCATGTTTTCCCCCCTAGGTTTGTCAATTTCCTGCTTTTTCCTGTCCTGAAACAGGATTATCCATTTATTTAAGAGATTTTTTATCTATTTGAAATGCAGAGTTGGGAAGACAAGTCTTCCATCTGCTGGTTCATTCCCCAAATGGCTGCAACAGCCAGGGCTGGTCAGAGTTGGAGCCCGAATCCTGGAACTCTGTCCAGGTCCCTGTGGAGGTGGCAGGAGCCCTAGCACTTGAGCCTCTGTTGCTCTCCTGGGCACAGGAGCAGGGAGCTGGATGGGAAGTGGAGCAGCCAGGACTCAAGCCGGTACCCATATGGGACACTAGTGTCGCAGGCAGCAGCTTAACCCACTATGCCAGTCCCTGGGATTATCCATTTTACCTCTTCATTGACACACCATTCCTCTTACCCTCATATCAGTCCTTTAAGTTGACTAACAGCCACAGTATTTTTCTCTGACTATTTACCATTTGCCTGTCTAAACATCCATCAACATAGAGGGAAGATATTTTGGTCTCCATCCCTGCCTCCTGGCCAGAACCCCTGGAGCCCTTGTGGTTTCCCAAGTGATGAGGGCATACGAGCACCTGTTAAATTTTCATTACCCATCCACCCCCCCCCCCCATTGCTGAGGTCATTCAGGCACAAGTAAGGTGAATAGAACCCTTTATTGGCAATAAGCCCCTTTAACCACACCTCAGTCTAGCCTGGTGTGGCCACTGGGAAAGCTGTTGCCAGAGCAACCAGCTACAGGACTAGAGTTCCACCCCCTGACCTCCCGGGGAGCAGGGCGAGGCTGGAAGTGGAGTTTAGTTGCCTGTGGCCAGTGATTCACTCAACTGTGCACATGGAACGTGACCTGAGGGCACTGGGTCTGGAGCACTCCAAGGTGGGGAACGAGCTGGCGGCAGCTTAGCCCACTGCACCGCAAGGCGGCCCCAGCCACGAGGGTGTGCACCTTAGCTCCTTAGCTCCGTGCATTTAAGGCCAGGCAGTGGGAAGGCGGTGCCTAAGCAGTTGCAGATAGCGCTGTAGAGTGTAGCCTTTGTGCCTGGCTGTTCGCTGTGAGAAATCTCCCAAATCGATGCACTTAGGCTCCTGGTCTGTCACCTGGCAGACTCCTGGGCTGAGGGCCATTGTGCTTAGAGGCTTGGATTCCTGGCTGGGAAAGGAAGCTGGGCCTGCCCATCAGTCCGCTTTCCTGGGGCCATGCCTAGGCCACCTGCCTGGTTTGATTCTTGGTGGCTTCCCTGTCCCCTTACAAGCTGAGCTCTGAGCTGCGGTCTACACAGAAGTTAAGCCCTCAGTGCACCTTCTCTCTGGCTCCTGAACCTGTGCATGTGCTGATGGGAATTCCCTGGGGGGGGGGGTTGGCAGGGGACACAAGCTCTCTCCACTTAGACCTGTTAAGGAACAGCAGATATGCTGAGATGCCTGTCTTCCTGCCAGCCCCCGAGTGTCCAGGACTGGAAGAAGCCCCTGTGGCTTCTCTTGGGCAGAAAGGGAGCTGTGGGTCTCTGCTCGAGGCATGAGCAGGGGTGGGTGGTGAGGATGCTGCTGTCAGCGGGGAGGCCTGGGCTGCCCTTGCGTGACATGGGAAGAGGCTGAGCGGTGTGGGATTGCTTGAGGGTTCCCCTGTCATTGTTCTCGGGTTGGTGGAGATGCACAGACCAGTCCCCCTCTCGGTGTCTTGTATCTTGCAGTGCGGAGCCTGTGAGTGCTGAGGACTCGGCTGTGTCCTGTCCCTGGAGAGCTCCCTCTTCCTGACCCTGCCCTCGATGAGGGCCGCTCGAAGATGGACAGTGATGGCACAGGCCTGGCCCTCTCCTTGCCTCCAGCTGGCATCATCGAGTAGCCATGGCTCAGGAGTTGTGGTCCCGCTGCTCACCCAGGTAAGGCTGGAGCAGGGGGAGGTGCGGGCAGAGGCACAGTCAGTGTGCTCACCCAGGTAAGGCTGGAGCAGGGGGGTGCGGGCAGAGGCACAGTCAGTGTGCTCACCCAGGTGAGGCTGGAGCAGGGGGAGGTGCGGGCAGAGGCACAGTCAGTGTGCTCACCCAGGTGAGGCTGGAGCAGGGGGAGGTGCGGGCAGAGGCACAGTCAGTGTGCTCACCCAGGTAAGGCTGGAGCAGGGGAGGTGCGGGCAGAGGCACAGTCAGTGTGCTCACCCAGGTGAGGCTGGAGCAGGGGGAGGTGCGGGCAGAGGCACAGTCAGTTAAGGCTGGAGCAGGGGCGGGCGAGCACAGTCAGTTAAGGCTGGAGCAGGGGGAGGTGCGGGCAGAGGCACAGTCAGTGTGCTCACCCAGGTAGGCTGGAGCAGGGGGAGGTGCGGGCAGAGGCACAGTCAGTGTGCTCACCCAGGTAGGCTGGAGCAGGGGGAGGTGCGGGCAGAGGCACAGTCAGTGTGCTCACCCAGGTAAGGCTGGAGCAGGGGGAGGTGCGGGCAGAGGCACAGTCAGTGTGCTCACCCAGGTAAGGCTGGAGCAGGGGGAGGTGCGGGCAGAGGCACAGTCAGTGGGAGTCACCCCGGGGTGGGAGCCTCCGTGGACGTGCACCTGTTGGGTGTAGGTCAGGTCTGCCTGAGGTGGGCAGGAGTGGGGACGGCCCTCTGACAAAGGGCTGCGTGCGAGAAGGGACGAGAGGCCTGCAGGGAAGCATTGTGTGGACAAACCCCAGTGCCTGGGGTGGCAGGTGGGGTGGGGCAGCTGGTGGCCTGTGGAGGGACGGGGACCAAAGGCCTGTTGCATCCCAGGGCTGCGGCTGCTTGAAGGAGCCTGTATCCTTGCCCATCTTCACAGAAGGCCAAAGCTGAGGGTGCTGGGCTTTACCTAGGAGGGAGATGTGCTGGGAGATCTCTCATCCCTTTTGTGTCTTGCACACGCATATGCACATGCACACGCACTAGCCAAGGCAGGGCCGGCCTCGGTCGTGGCCAAGGCCAGGCTAGTAAAGAATCCAAGGGCGGAGCCTCCATGGGTCCCAGAGCTGGGGGACTCTTGCCTTGCTCTCATCTTCAAGGGCAGAGGGGCATGGTCTCCTGCTCTGACAGGAAGTCGCCACTTCCTGTCCTGTCTCCTCCATGCCCGGGGAGGGTCTCCATGCCTCCAGGGCAGGAAGCTGCTCACTCATGGAGTGCCCTGCCCCCTGTGGTGAAGATCCTGGGGAAAGGGGAGCCGATGTTGGCAGCCACAGGCTGCAGGGTCAGCCAGACCCGACCTGGCTCCTTCCCCCTCCCCCACCCCAGCAGGAGCAGACCTGCTCACACCACGGTGCATCTCCAGGAACTCCTGTGGCCTTCTTCTCCTGGCTGGATAAGCTGGACTACCTCCGTAAGCTTTGCTGTCTCTTGGGCCAGCCACACAGCTGCCAGGTGAGCACGTGGGAGGGTTGTTTGAATACGAAATGGCCTGTGTAGTAGACTCCCAGGGGTCCCTTCGTAGGATCCCAAGCTGGGTGGCTGAAAACATGGTAATGTATTCCCTTGTGAGTGAAGGCTGGACGTCGGAAGTCAAGGTGTGGACATGGCCGTGCTCCCCCCAAAAGCTCCGGGGGAGGAGTTGTTGCTTGATGTTCTACCTCCTGCTGCTTGCTGGTGATCCTTTGTGCTCCTTGGCACGTCAGGGCAGTCTGCCTCTGCACATGGCTTCTTCCCCTGTGTGTCTGTGTCTCTAAGGGACTGCAGTCAACAGACTAGGGGCCCACCCTCTAGTCTAACCTCACCTTGACCTGATCACATCTGCCAAGACCCTATTTCCATTCAAAGACTCCTGTTGGACATGCACTTGGGGGTGGGTGGTGACACTGTTCAATCCAGGACAGCAGGGAACCCTTGAATCCCCCATGAGCAGGGCTCTGGAGTTGGAAGCTGGAGCTGGGAATCAAACTAGCACCACATTTGTGCAGTGCTGCTGTCTTCACGGCTAGGCTAGGCACCCCTCTCACAAATGGTGAGCTTGTGGAAACTCCAGTAGGCCTTCTGCTCAACTAGGAAGCTAGCGGTTGGGGGAAAAGGGGTGCAAAAGAGGGGGTGGAGCATCTTCCCAAACTCGTCACCTAGGAACAGATCAGCCCTAGTGTGCAGAGATCTTTCCAAAGCTTGACCTCCATAGCTTCCGTGGCAGAAGTGAGGCTCACGTGGGTAGCACTGGCCCAGTAATGTGTATGTAGCATCCATGGTAGGTATAGGAGACCACCTGACTCTGAAGTCCTCTCGAAGTGAGGAGATGGTCTCCTATGGTCGTCTTAGGGTGTGGGGGGGCAATGGAGCTGTACCAAGCTAAGAGCTCTGGCCTCAGCTCCCTGGGAATAACTACTTGTGTTGCCTTAGTGACATGCAGAGACCACTGGAGACCTTAAGATGTGGACTTCTGGGCACCGATATTACCCATCTGTCCTACAGACTTCACACTGCCCACCTGCAGAACGTGGGCGTGGGCAGCAACAGCCTGCTCCACGTGATGCCTGTGCCCTGGAGACTGCTGGGTGGGGGTGGTCTTGAGCTCCTGCTGCCACCTGAGTTCCTGCTGCCAGCCCTGTGCTGCTGCCCCCACCCCGGGGTGGTCATCTCCCACGACCTCCTAAACTGCCCCTCCTACAGATAAGACGGTGTGTGGAATGCTCGAGCTGAAGAATGTTGAAGTATCCTATCCTTGTTGAATGCTCTGGATATGTGGATGACCACCCTGGATTAACGCTGCTTTAGAAGCCAAACCATGGCTAAGCTAAGCTGGACAGCATTGGATCATATGGGGGAGGGGAGACCCACAAACTGCGTAGCACTGAGGGCTGAAAGCCGTGCAGAGCTCCACCGTGCAATAGTGCGCGCACAGCCAGCCAGCAGAAGTGCCGTGGTTCAGTGTCCTTACTTGCACGTGTCTGGGTAGCTTCTAGTCGCTGGCCGAGACTCCGGCTCCTTGTTGCAGGAGGTGTTCTGGCACGATGGGAGAGGCAGGGCCCAGCTGATCTGACTTGTGAAGAATATTTTAACTTTCAACATAAAGGATGATCTCATGCTCATCTCTATCTTACAACATCAACTGTACTCGGGTCTCAGGGATTTGAGGCTTCAACTTGAACTTAGATGTTCCTCTGCTGTGTCCTAGACTGTTCTAGATGCCTGGTATAAGGACAAATGAGACACTTAAAAAAATCCTTCCTTAAACTTATTTTATTTGAAAGGGTTAGAGAGGTAGAGCAAGAGAAAAGGCTTCTATCCACTGGTTCACTCCCCACATGACTGCAACAGCCAGAGCTGAGGTGATCCAAAGCCAGGAGCTTCTTCTGGGTCTCCCAGGCAGGTGCAGGGGCCCAGGGACTTAGGCCATCCTTTGCTTTCCCAGGCCATTAGCAGAGAGCTGGATTGGAAATGGAGCAGCCGGGACTTGAACCAGTGCCCAGATGGGATGCTAGTGCTGCAGGCCAGGGCTTCAACCCACTGTACCACAGCACCACCCCAAATGAGACTTTTTGTGAAGGATCTCTAGATACAGGTGTCCCTTTTGTCTGGTTTTCCATTTTGTTTTTTCTGCAGTTTTCAATATTTGTTTTTTTTGGGGGGTGGGTGGGCATGTAAAAATGGTTGAGTTAATCTTCATAAACTTCAGTTCCTCACTTGTAAAACTGAGGGTTTTTTTTTTAAGACTTATGCATTTGAAATGAGGTAGAGACAGAAAGAGTCTTCCATCTGCTGGCTTACTCCCCAGATGGCAGCAATAGCCAGAGCTGTGCTGATCCAGGAGCCAGGAGTCTCCTCCAGGTCTCTCATGTGGGTGCAGGGGCCCAAGGACTTCGGCCATCTTCTGCATTCCCAGGCCATAGCAGAGAGCTGGATTGGAAGAGGAGCAGCCAAGACTAGAACTGGTGCCCATGTGGGATGCTGGTTCTTCAGGCCAGGGTGTTAACCCACTGCGCCACAGCACCGGCCCCTCTTTTTTGTGTGAAAGCTGTCAGCATAGTGCATTCACTTATGCAGAAGGTGTTTGAGGCTCTGCCCTTCCCTGGGCTGAGTGCTGGGGGCAGGGGTGGAAAAGACACGCGTGGTTCTCATGTTTCTAGGAACTTGTACTGAGATGGGTGACTCGGGCGATCGGCAAGTTACATCAAGAAGCAGGACAATTTCAGACAAGAGGCACGGAGACAGGATGCAGTGGAAGGTCACTGGGGTGCGGGGGGGGGTAGCATCATATGTGTGGGTGGCCCGGGAACGGTGCCTGAACACTGAGGCCGGGAGTCACAGGACATGGAACAGGAGCCTAAGCAGAGGAAATGCAGGTACGGAAGCCTGAACGGGCTGATGAGGCTGGAGGTTAAAACAGGAATAGGTTAAGCAATCGGCTGAGGGAGCCACAGTGAATGGATCACTTAGTGAACATGGGTATGTTTGTGACCATGTTATCAAAAGGAACCACTTCCACTGGTGCCGTGGTACGAAGGTATCCCCCAAACTTAGTGTGTCGATCACCAATGTGAAGCATTTTAAGAGGGGCTGCCTTGGGGGCCGGCACTGTGTTGGAGGCTTCAGCTGTTGTCTATAGAGCCAACATCATATATGGATGCCAGTTTGAGTCCTGGTTGCTCCACTTCTAATCCAGCTCCCTGCCAATGTGCCTGGGGAAAGCAGTGAAAGGTGGCCCAAGCGTGTGGGCCCCTGCACCCATGTGGGAGGCCTGGAGGAAGCTCCTGGCTTCAGTCTTGCCCAGCTCTGACTATAGTGGCCATTTGGGGAGTGAACCAGTGGATGAAGGACCTCTGTTTCTTCCCTCTCCATGTAACTCTGATTTTCAAGGTTTTTTTTTTTTTTTTTCCAAAGAGGGGCTGCCTTTAGGAGAGGATCAAATCATGAAGAACCCTCATGAACGGGACTGATGACCTTATAAAAGGACCACAGGGTCCCAGCTGGGCCCTTCTGCCATGTGGGGATGTGTTGGTTTCCTCTGGGGCACACGGCGAGGTGCCATCTTGGAAGCAGACTCTTCAAAGAGGCAGTATCTCCTGGTGCCTAGATTGGGCTCCCCAGCCCCCAGAACTCAGATTTCTGTTACGGATCATCCTTCTAAAGGCTTTTTGCTACAGCAGCAGGTGTAGATTAAGTTGGCTGATGCTATGGTACGAATTCCACTGTGTCTTGGGCTCTCCAAGTCGATGGCTTAGTGAAGCCCTGCCCAACAGGTGAGGACATGGAGAAATAGTAGAACCCAGGAAGCCACAGAGGCAGAGCAAGTTTGGTCCATTTATGTGTGCTTTCTGGTTTATCTTACTTAAAATACTATCCTCTATTGGGGCTGGTGCTATGGCATAGCAGGTAAAGCTGTCGTAGTGCCGGCATCCCATGTGGATGCTGGTTCAAGTTCTGGCTGCTCCACTTCTGAGCCAGCTCTCTGCTGTGGCCTGGGAAAGCAGTGGAAGATGCCCCAAGTCCTTGGGCCCTGCACCCATGTGGGAGACCCGGAAAGAAGCTCCTGCCCTTGGATCAGCGCAGCTCCAGCTGTTACAGCCATCTAGGGAGTGAACCAGTGGATAAAAGACCTCTCTGCTTCTGCTTCTCTGTGACTCTGCCTTTCAAATAAATCTTAAATATGATCATCTGGGTTCATTCATGTCACAAATGACAGGATTTCCTCCCCCCCTTTCTTAAAAGGCTGATTATTGCACTTTGTGTCTAAACCATTTTCTGTTTCCATTTGCCCACTGATGGACATCTGGGTTGTTTGCACGTCTTGCTCACTGAACAAAACTGCTGTGCATAGGGCAGGGTGCGCATCTCTTCACGACGCCATCCGCAATGCCCTCGCGTGTCAACCCAGAGTTTTGACTGCTGTATT